CAGCCACTGGAAGGGGCTGCCCAGGGAAGGGGGCGAGTCCCCATCCCTGGAGGTATTTAAAAGATGTTTAGATGTGGTTCTTTGGGACATGGTTTAGTGGAGGGATGGCAGGGTTAGGTTAACGGTTGGACTTGATGATCTTAAAAGGTCTTTTCCAACCTAGATTTTTCTATGATTCTATGATTCTACGGACACACAATGCACCATCCAGCCTGCAGCAGAGGAGTCCATCAAGGATAAGGTGGAGGTGTGTGGAGACCCACTGGTGGGAGCAGGGAGGGTATTCTGGGCTCCTGGGTCCTGCCCCAGTATCAAAGCCTTCTTCCTGCCTGGCTGAAAGGTTTCTCTGCCATGGGAACTGGGACAGGCAAGGATCCCAGACATGAGAGAGGGACCCTGGCCCAGCTCCCCGCAGCACCAGCTTTAGGGCAGGGACACAGAATGCCCTCTGCCATGGAGATGGGCCCACGTGAGCCTTCTCCCAGACATGCTCTTCTCCAGGCCAGGGGCTGGGTGACAGGTTTGGGCTGTATCCTGTGTCTCTCAGGAATCCTTTCTCCCTTCCCTGGGCTCTCCCTCCTCTGCCTCCCACAGTGATGAGGCAAAGGTCCCCCCACTCCCACCCCCTGCACCTCCAAACCGGTCCTGCCCCAACAAAACCCCAGACTGACCCCCCTGGCCAGGCAGCAGGAGGGCAGGGCTGGGGCCTGGAGTGCAGCAGGAGGATGGGGTCCCAGGGCTGCCATGGGGCCTCACAGCCCCTGCCCAGGAAGGAGGCAGCTCTGGGGCTGGGACAGGAGTGTTCAGGCTCTGGGAGGGCCCAAGGCAGCAGACCATGGAGTCTGGGGTCCTGGCAGAGCCAGCCAAGGGGCAATGCCAGCCCCATGTGCCCCAGCTGCTCCCAACCCCTATGGGAGGTGATCCACTGACCATGATACCCCCCTGGGGCTGGCTGGGGAGTCCAGGGCACTGCAGCCACATTAGGGCTGGCTGCTGTGAGGCCACAGCCCTGGGATCACCCCAAACAGCAGCTCTGTTGTGGCCTCTCTGCATGGGACCAGCTTGGACCAGGCAGGGCCTGGGGGAAAGAGCAACTGGGGAACCCCACAGTGAAGAGATCGGCAATCATGGGACGTTGTCAAGAGCCAGTTTTTGCTGAAAACTGTGGCTGGTAGG